AGACCATGTGTGCGTTCCCAGGGCTCTCCTGGCTGTCCAGGGCGTTGGTCAGAGGGGGTTGCCAGGCCTTACTTCCACAGCGCCACCAGGTGGGCATTGAAGGCATGGCATCTTGTACGACTGGGACTCTAAAGTTCAACTATGCACACACTCCTTTCAGAATCTCTCACTCACACTGTCACACATACACACACACATCGTCATCTCTCAATACCCCCAGGGCTTTTCCTGATGACCTTGCTGGGGTCCCAGTGGGAGCGAGACAGGAAGGAGAGGCATCCTCTTTAGGAATCTCAGCCTCCCCAAGCCGGGGTCCTGACTAAAACGTGAGGGAAGGAGGATGGGGCTGGCTGGGGCTCTGGGCTTGCCTCTTCCTGGCTCTCCCCAGCTCCTCACCCACTGGAATGGCCCATGAGCAAAACCACAGGGAGTAACAAGGGCCAGCTGTGCTCCGCAGTGCCAGAGGTGACCTCACCAGCCCAGGGACTCCACCACAGCCAGGATGGAGCCCAGCCCCTGGCCCAGCTGCAGCCTCAGGGCCCTGCCCTCACAGCTCCCCACTCCCGGCCCAGAGACCCTCTCCTGGAACACAGGCAGCCAGCGCACCGTGGGAGGAGACAGAGTGGAGCCCCCAGGGCCCCGTGGCTTCAGAATGAGGAAAGGCGGCGCATGATGGCCGCCTGCCACCTCCAGCCCCCAACCACCCAGGAAGCCATCCCTGCTCGGCTCCGGCACCACAGGGATGTCAAGAAGCAGACACTGACTCAGAGTCAGGAGAGGCCGAGTCACCTCAGGTTCAAGCCCCAGACATGCAGCTGGCTCACACCAAGCTTGGGCTGGGTCACGCGCGCGCGCACGCGCAGGGACCCAGTCTCCCCGACTTAGGAACTCCCGCTCCATTTTCACTCTGAGCTGCAGGTAGGCATACTTCCAAGCAGGGGACTGACGCCTAGAGGGAGGGGTCACCTCTTCCTGGAGCCCTACTTGAAAAGACCAGACAGAGCCTGTGACTAGGAGGCCAGTGTCTGGCGTGCTCCCTTCATACAAGGCTTGCTGCTCTGGTTAAGGTACCACTGCGTCAGCAGTGGCTCACGGAGATCACACATGTGCTGAGAACCGCACGTGCGGTGTCGCCGTACTTCACACGCACCCTCAGTCGAAGCCCCAGGACCTTTGGGAAGCAGATGGTTAGGGCTTTGCTCTGAGACACTTCTGGGTAGGCTTCAGTCACCGATGTTCCTATCAGTAAACCAGCACTCAGCTCCTTGCATCACCAGGGACTCCGTCACACCAAGCTTAGGTTTGGCAATCAAAATATTGCTCCCTCCAATCCAAACCCACTGCCATCAATTCAATTCTGACTCACAGCACCCCCATGAAGGATTTTCCAAGACAGTAAACCTTTCCTGGAACTGATGGCTTCATCTTTGTCCGAAGGAGTGAGTGTTGGAAGGTTTGAACCACCCGACCTTGTGGCTAGCAACCCAAGCTTAACCCAAAGTGCCACCAGGGCTCCTTAATCAGAACACAAAGAGGAACGTGATCAATCCACTCTTTCTTTCCTTCGGTCCGACGGTTGTCTCTCTATGAGTGGAACGGAAATTCCAAGCCCTGTACCTGAGAGCGACTGTCACCCAGCTGGGAACTCAAGGCTTTCTTAAGTTACGTGGATGAGGTCCCACTGGGAGTAGGCTGGGTCCTAAACCTTGTCCCTGCTTTGTGATGTCTTCTAAGCAGAGCCGACTACACACGAGATGGACACACAGGGGAAGAAGACGGAAGTCACTGGAGAACCACCCAGGATTTCCAGCCTGGCAAGTCCCCCGGGCAGCTCTACTCCCCACACACGGCCAGCAGACCCCCGCAGTGACAGAGAAGTCTCCGTGAGAACCCACACACCCGAGAGAGACACGGGTCTGGAGTCTGCATCCTGAGGATGGTGGGAAAATGAATCTTGCTTCCTGGTTTTCATGGCGGCAGCACAGGATAACTGAAGTGGCGCCCACAGGCGACAATGTCTTTGTGGGGATGAGAAGAAAGAAATGCTTCGGGAAAAGAAATAGGACTTTTCTCCCATTTCCCCCAAATTTCCTAGGCTTTCTTCAGTCTCTGGAATCATCCGAGAGGATGCTGAGGGTGGAGTGGGAGAGTGCCTTTGTGATTGATGACTAGGATGCTGTCCAAGGGAGTTAAGGAAAGGATGTTGTGTGTGTGTGTGTGTGTGTGTGTGTGTGTACACCTTCGCTTCTTACAGAAGTTTCCTCTCAGGGCCTCAAGTTCTCCAAAGCACTTGTCCCAAGTGCGTGCACACACGTGCACATACACACACAATCTTTCCCAAGACACAGAGATGTCATCCAAGCTAGAAAGGTTGGAAGGGCAAAAAGGGACCAAGAGAGGCAGATGGACTAGCCACCTTGCCATGACACACACACACACACACACACACACACACACACACACACGCACAGGAACAAGCACACACAGGAACAACAAGTACACACACATTGGCAGGGTCCACAGCAGAACCAGGCAATTGGCAGAAATCCCCATGCCGGGGTCTCACATCAGTCAGGGTCCCAGCCTCAGACTTCGTGTCCTGAGTCCCAATCCCATATCCCACCAGCAGATGACTGGTCCAGCCCTGAGTTTCTCCTTGGACCCCCAGTCCTGGCTGGCGTGTGGAGTGAGTGGTTCGTCAGAAAACTACTGAGCAGCTGCATGGTTCTAAGTGCATTCGAGGAGCCCTCGTGGTACAATGATTAAAGCACGGCTCACCACTGGGTTGCAAGAAGAGACAAGCTGCATCTGTAAAAACTCCCAGGCCTGGAAACCTTGCGGGCAGTTCTACTCTGCCATGTAAGGTCACTAGGACTCACAGTCAGCTCAGAGCCTATGGGTTTGGTGTCTGGGTTTTAAATTCATGCCAAAGAGGCCTGGTAGCACAGCGTTTAAGCAGCACTCCAATGCTAAGCACTCCAGAAGGCTGGCGGTCTGCTTCCAGAAAGGTTTCCAGCCTGGAAAGTCCCACGGGCAGCTCTACTCTGTCCTGTAGGATCCCTATGAATTGCAATTGCCTGGAAAGCAATGGGCTTGGGTAAGTTCATTCTAAGGCCCTCTCCTGTATGTCAGAAAAGACACGGCACCACAGAGATGGCAAATAGCATATGGTAAGGCTGAGCCTTGAAAGCGTGCACCGGACGGATGGAAGTCAAGGATGGTACACCCCAGAAGGAAGGAAGATGGGGCTGTGTCAGGGGAACTGGCGGTGCCAGGCCTGTGGGGGGAGCCCGGGGCCGGCCCGGGATGCTCACCTTCGTGGGGACAGAAGCCGTACTTGCCCTCCTTGTCGAAGTTGTAGGTGGTGGAGCACCAGAAGAAGCCGTCGCTGCGGCCTGTGTCAGTGCAGCTGTGGTACTCCTTGCCATTGAACAGGAAGGGGAATTTGCAGAACTCCCCGTCGGCGTTTCCGTACTTCACACGCACCACTGAGGGGAACACGGGGCAGAGGGGTCACCTCTCTGGGCCTTTCATCGGAGACCACACCTCTGACGCCCTCAGCTCCCGGAGCCCGGCCCAAGCCTCTGGTTCCACGTGAGCGGGTGAGGTTGCCAAGGGCTGCTGAGGGGCATGCAGGGACTGCAGGGAAGGGCAGGGGGCAGGGGACCCCTCTCTCACCTTGTCCTTCTCCCAGCGTCCACATCTCGTCGTCGTCAAAGTGGGAGTCCCCACCGACTCCAGGGCCTGGGGCGAAGGCGTGTGCCAGGAGGCCGTCCTTGCCATCAAAGGGGTACCCGTCCCCATGCTCTGCAACACACGTGAGGCTCAGCTTCTGACGGCCCCACTGGGCTCCAAGAACCATCCCCACTCCATCCACGCGCTAGCACCCTTCAGCCCACCCACCACCTGCCCCTTTCCCCGGACACCTTGGGGTGACCCTGGCTGGGAACCCAGGGCCAAAGCAGAGATGTGCTGAGTGTGACCATCCTACGGCCTACATCACATGATGTCAGGGTCTGCTTTCCCTCCCCACGTGCCTACGTTGTTCTCACCATGCACCCCCGTCTGTCTCTTCCTCTGCACTCACACCCACCGCTACACTCACCACTGGGTCCACGTTCCCTCCCCACGCACGCAGAGTCCTCTCTGCTCACCCATGTCTGCCTTATCCCCAGCCTTCACAGCACCTGCCTGGATGTCTACACCACCCTCTCAACCATATGTCACCAGGTCACACTGCCACCCATGGCCCCCACACTACCCTCACGCCTGCTCTACCACCAAAGCCTGTGCCAAATGCGTGCCTGCATTGCCCCTCGCACCTGTGTTCCCCTCTGCATGGCGCAGCGTCTACACCACCTACCCCGTGTCTGCACGGCCACTAACCCTCGGGGCAGGTCCCCTTACTCTCCCGTCAGGCCTGCCCACCTTCAGGCGCACAGTTCCTTGGGGACCACCAGTGTTCCCTAAGAGGGCTGTCCATGCGACAGAAAGGCTCCTCGTGCTATCCTAGTCAAAAGCCACTAGCCAGCCCCATTGGGCCATCACACGCACGTGATGGAGGGACCAAAAGGTCAGGTTTAGTTCATTCAATTAAAATTTAGCCCCATGTACCCAGGGGCTCCCATCCTGGCTGTGCTGCGGTCCACGTGGCCGCCAGCACCTCTCCGGGGGCCGCCCTGGGCTCTCAGCCCACACTTGCCCTCCCCATACAACTGGCATATGTACCGCTTTCAGCATCTGCACCCACTTCTCTCCTGTCTAAGCTGGCCTCGTATCCCCATGCCTCCAGGAGCCACAGTGATCCTCTGTGTCTACGCTGACTACCCCCCACCAGCCCTCCCCCTCTTCAACCTACCCCAGCGGCCAAAGTTGATCATGATGTCAGCCTCTCCATCATGGATGCGTGAGAAGCGCAGGGGCGTCACGTTACTCCAGACCTGGAAGGCTCGAGCGAAGGCGTCATCCACCGTCTCGGGGTCCAGATCAGGCGTGTAGCCGATGATCCTGCGGGGTGAGCCACGTGTGAGGTGGTGCGCATGCATGAGCATGGGGCTGCGTGTGTGCGCATGCAGAAGATCCCATGCCAGCATGTGTACGCGAGGGTGCAGGAGCTCCTACACCTGCATGTGCATCCACGTACATGTGTGTACAAGTCAAGTAGGGTTCCCGTCAAGAACAGCCCTCCCGGAAGGCCTTGAGCTATCATGGGTTCCAGACCAGTCCGCACTCTGAGGTCTACCCTAGAGTCTCATCCCTCACTTCTGCCTGCGTTGGGAGGCCTCCCATTACAGGACACAGGGCCAAAATCTGCTCCTTGGAACCCCGGGAGAGTTCCCAGATGGCAAGAACCCACCATCGCCTTCCTCTGCTGCCCCTGCCGGGAGCCTGTGGAATAGCAGCATTTGCTGCACGCGAGCTGCGGCAGGCGCACAGCAAGGCCCTTCATTTGTGCGTTCTGGCTTTCGCAGGATTCTCCCCTCCCCTGTGGAGGATGCAGCTTCAACCCCTGGCCGATGCCATGTCCTGCCCAGCTGCCAAGCTGTCAGGAAGGCCTTGAATGTTGCCAAGATGCTGGGCAGGTGTCCAGAGAGTTTCTAGACTCTGATGGACTAGGAAGAAAGGCCTGGAAGTCTACTTCCCCAAGCCAGTTACTGGAACTCCCACGGGGTCATAGGCTGCATGCCATGCCACACCGCACTGGGTCATCACGCATGAGCCGCTATTCTGAAGCCTGGAGTCAAGGTTCAGAGAACTGAAAGGCAAGTTCCCCCAGGACCTTGCAGCCAGTGACCGTGGCTCTCAGCTCTGCTGGTCTGTTAAAAGACCCACTGCGACCCCAGTTGCCAAGAGCTCTGGAGGCAAACCCCGTAAAATGCCGTTGGTACAGAAGATGCCTCGAGGACCCTCCACGTCCCTCAACCCCACTGCCCCATGCGACAGCCCTGCCCCAGCACCTGTATGTGATCTCGTTCTTGTCCCACTTGGGCTTGCGGGGGAAGAAGTTGTAGTTGGCCACGTCAGGGTTGCCGCAGCGAGGTTTCCGCATGGTCTGGATGGTTTTCTGGTCCAGCATCCCCGTCTGAGGCAGGCCAAAGAACTTCTGCATGGTCTTCAACTTGTCCTTCAGCACAAACAGGTTGCAGCTGTTCTTGGGGCAGCCGTAGTAGGTGTTCAGGTATTGCTGGAAAACATGAGCATCCCGAGGTGCATCAGGGTGCCGCCATAGCTTGTAGTCACTGGCCTCCAACCTGGCCCCGGCGCCCAGACAGGACACAGGAAGAGTCAGAAAACCTGAGTTCCAGAATCATCTCTGCCCCCCACTAGCTGAGTGAAGTGCCAGCTGTGGATCCCCATGGTCGGGAGTACTAATGGCCAAGCACTGAGGTCAGCGTGTCCATTCATTTAATGTTCACAACACTTGTATGAAGTCAATATCATACCACCCCCACCATATGGAGGAAGGCATTCAACACAGAGAGGTTAAGAAATGTGCCTATGTTAACACAGCTCAGGAACAGCAGAGCTGGAATTGGACCCAAGGAATCTGCTTCCAGACCCCATGCGGAGGACAGTGGCTCTCCACCACCCTGTTCACCTCCATCATCTCATTTAAGTGGGATGCTCATCCCACCTTTTCTTCCAAAGGGGGCTCCAGAGCTGTGTGATTGAGCCCTGGGAGCAGACAGATCTTGGTTCAAATGCAGGACAGGACATTTCCAAAAGAGAAAACGGTCCTGCCCTCAGGGTCTGCTCAGTCTGAGGCCAAAACCAAATAAGCCCTGACAAGTTCAGAAACCAAGCAACTCGTTTCTTCATTCCATCCTTGCTTTCAGCCACCAGCCAGGCCCTGAGCTAGTGCTGGGGATAAACTGGTGAACAGGACAAGCTGTTTCTCATCGCTCAGGTCCCAAGGCTGGGCAGAAAAGGTGACATGGATCAGTCCCCAATAAACCCAGAATGGCGTCGAGTTGATTCCAATGTACAGTGACGCTGTAATTCAGCGCACAACCGCCCTTGTGGGTTTTCAAGAGGGGACTAGAAAGCCCGGTCGTTCTCTTGCAGAGTGGTTGGTGGTTTTGAACTGTTGACCTTGCGGTTAGCCACCGCGTGGGTTACCCACTATGCCACCAGGGCTCCTCTACATGGATGACAAATAATCAAGGCAAAATTAAGGATGCGCCAAGTGCTGTGGTGGATAACCCTGACTGGGGCACGGCGAGGGCAGGCTCCCCTGATAACGTGCAGGGAACCAGCAGGAGGATATGGTGGCTCTGGGAAGACGAAAGATAACAGTAACAAGGGCTAAGGCTTTGCTGTTTACCAAGCACTCTTCCAAGTCGCAAGGTTCCCTGATCTTGCGTGCTGAGGCAGGCACCGTGGATTTTGCCCCTTTTGCAGATGAAGAAACTGAGACTCAAGAGAAGTCAAATCATCTGCTTATGATCGATCACCAGGTCGGGTCAGCCGGTTGGCACAGACCCCGATTTGAAGTCCAGCAGCCTACATCCTCATACACCCCACTGTACTCCCCCAGGCAGAACGCCGTAAAGGGGGTGAGGACCCAGCTACATTTGTCGCTGCTCCCAAGCTTCGCTCTCATACCGAAGCATCAGGCGTGTCGTACCCAGGAGCTGTCCCTGGGAGGTACAAGCGCTTTGCTCTCACATTGCTAATCCACTCAGCCGCGCAGGGATCTGCTTCCCTGAAGCTGAGAATCAAGAAAACCCGAAGGGGCAGTTCTATTGTACACCGCAAGGGGTCGCCACAAATCACTGCAGTATGTTTGGGGTATTTTTGGTTTGGTGAGGTTTAGCAACCTAGGGCGGTCTCCCAGCTCATCTGGTGACAAGTCGCGGGACACTGGTGACAAGTTGGTGTCATCTGGTGACAAGCTGCGGGACGCTGGTCTGGTGACAAAGGTAGGGACCCTGGGGAAGGGTAGGGGAGTCACAACCCCAGAAGGAGTTCGCAGAGTGGGGGCGCCCTAGGCAGGTCGAATGGAGGAGGAGAGAGGAATTCTAGGGCTGTGGAGGCCACCAGAGGCGGTGGAAGTCCTGGAGTCTGGACGAATAACCTTGTGAGGGGTGCGGGGTCGGGGGTGGGGGTTCACAGTGGAGGCGTAAACGAGAGAAGGCGCTGCCTTCTAGGGTTGGCCCCCCCCCCGCCCCGCCCCCGCTTGCCCCCATCAGGCTTAAGGAAGGAGGCGGCGAAGGCGCAGGGCGAACCTGGCACGCGCTCGCAAAACAACCTCGGAGCTGCAGCTCGGGGACCCGCCAGGAGCCGGGGCTCGCTGGCCGCTCTCCGACCCCGGGCGGGCGGGCGGTCGCAGTCCGCCCCCGCCCCACGCGCCAGGGCCCTCCTGCGCCCGGCCCTCCCGCTGCCAGTTCTCGCCAGTCCCCGACCGAAGGGAGAAGGTCCCACGGAGAAGTTCGAGGAAACTTTCCGAGGCCCAACCCTTGACCTTCTGACCAACTTGTCCTCGAGAGACAGAGACGCGAAAAGGACATGCTCCCCGTCCGTCCCCCGCCGACTTATCCAACGGGCCCGGAGCTGTAGCTCAAGGCCTAGCTCCAGATGTTCGCCCAGAGGGTCCCTGATGCTTGCCAAGCGCGCCGCTTCCCCCAGCACCCAACCTCAACTTGGCCAAAGTTCACCCTTCCCAAAGTGCCGCGGGGCGTGAAAACAATCGTCTCCCCGCACTCGTGCTCCCCAAATAGACCCCTTTAGCCTGCCAAAGGCCTGGTCAAGCTCCTTAGGCAGCACCCCCACCCCCCATGTGTTCATAAGTTGTTTACCAAGCCCCCGCCCCTCCCCCCGCAGTGCCCCAGAGAGCCTCCTCCCCCACCATGCCATCAAAGTTGTCTTTGTTTACCAAACTCCCCTTCGTCCCCCCATTTTCAAAGAACCCTTGCTCAGTTTTACAAAAGAACCCCCAAGTTGTTGACCAAAGCCCCTGCCCTCGCGCCCCCCCACCCCCACCCCCCATCCTCTGTCGCCAAAATCTGTCTCAACTTGGCTCCACGGGGCCAGCGTTGCAACTCACCACAGCCAACTCTTTGTCCATTTTGGGGGCGACGTCGCCAGGGAACTTGATGATGGGCGCAGGCGCCGCGGCTAAAGGGCCTAACAGGCAGCTGAGGACGCAGAGCGCCCGCACGGCACAGGCGAGCGCACTCCGGGCTCCCGGCGCCTCCATCGCCGTGCTCCTGGGCCCTGAGCGTCCTCGGGGCGCGGGGTGGGGTGGGGTGGGGGGGCGCTGGCTCGGTGCGTGTGGCCTCGCTGCCGTCTGGCCGGCGCCTGCTCCGCGGGGCAACGCTGCGCTCCAAGGACGCCGGCGCAGGCAACTCGGTGGGCTCCGCTCGACCGGGATCAGCAGCTCGTGGTCCGGCCCCCGCGCCCAGCACCGCCGCCGCCGCGGGTCTGGCCACTCTCTTTATATGTGTACAGACCCAGATGCGCAGGCTCCCGCCACCGGAGGAAGTCTGCATGCAGCGGAAACAAGGGAGGGCGGCCGCCAGATGTGGCCGGCTGGGCTGGGAGGGCGCTGGCAGCTCTTGGCCGGGGCCGGGGGTGCGCCCGGGGCCCGCCCCTTCCAGCTTCCCCCCACCCCACTGGCCCTCCTCCTCTTTCTTGCCTCTCCGCCTCTTTTCCTCGCGGCCGCCGGGGCCTCTAAGTCCACCATCCGTAGGGGCACGCGTCCGTTCCGCTCCAGACCCCCACCGCCCGGAAATCCCAGGGATCTGCGGAGAAACGCCTGGCGCGCCCGCTCTAGACCCTTGGCGTGCGGAGCTTGGAAAGCAGCGGTTCTGGGAGGGAAGGCGGACAACCCGGACACCCTCCACGCTCCTCGGGGACACGGGGTCAGGGATGGGGAAGGATGATCAGAAACAGATGATCCGAGGCACTGGCCGAACCGAGATAGATGGCAGAGTCCAAGAAGGTTCGCTGTGTAACGACAGAAACTGAGAGGGACAGAGATGGAAACGCGTTGGTCAAGCGGAGGGTCCCGTCGGGCCTTTGTCCCCATCAGTCCTCCCTTCCACCTTCCTTATTCCACCCCTCCCTTAGTCCTTCCCTCCCTAAAATATCTAAGCAGGGAGCGACTACAGGGCCCTTTACCCCTTTCACAGGCAGGACTGACTGTAGTGAGCCCCCTCAAGGGCTCCCTGCACAATCTGTGCAAACACCCTAGGTGGCCTTCCTGGAAGAACTACTACTAAGACCTGAGCAAAGGTGGGTGTGCAGCAGGTTATGTTTTAGGCATGCTGGCTCCATCAGTGCTCCACACTCACTGAAGGTCAGTGGTTCGAGCCCACCACCTGCCCCTCCAGGAGATGAGGCAGTCTGCTTCCCTGGTATAGACCAGCCTCAGAACATACCCCCCTCCCCATTCTATTCTGTCTCATGGGGCGATGTGGGTCAGAATCCCCTGGGGGACAATGGGTTGGGGTATGTTTCAAGCACAGTCTGTTTTTATCCAGACCCCTCACCCCACCCCCATGGCCATCCCACCTACGACTGTACCCAGGTCCATGGTGACCCATTGGGTGTTTCTGCCAGCCCGTCTTCCTGCTCTGTCTTAGTCTGGAGACTCTGCAGAAGTCAGCTGAGCATGGGAGCCACCCCCGGCAGATGGCCGGTGGCTGTGTAGGAAGTGCACCAGCAGGGGATCAAATCTGGTCTCTTGCATGAAGGGCAAGAGCTCCACTATGGGGTCTGCTCAGCAAGGCTCTGCTTGTCCAGTCCAACCCATAGACCCCGGAGGGGACCATACGGTGGGGGCTTCCAAGGTCGCGGTCTTTACAGGACAGCTGGCCACATCTTTCTGGAACGCTTGGTGGGCTCAAACCCTCGCCGTAGGGTTTTGCAGCTGAGTGTAACCACTGGGCCAGGGCTCCTTCTGGGCCAGTGGGGGGAACAACCTAGCGGGAAGTCTAGAGAGAGTAAGGTGGGCTGGAGAGGGAAGGCCCTTCCGTTGGAAGGGGTGGCGGGGACAGATGGAGCTCAAGGGGGGAGCCAGGGACTGGTCCAGGGAGGGAGAAGAGGGTCTGGAGACACATGCAGAGAGCAACCTGGGAAGGGAGGCGGTTCGGCTTGAGGAGCAAGGACATGGGGCTGACCAGGTCAGCAGCAGTTGCCTGTGGAGGGTCCGGGAGGTGAGGGGGATCAGTCTGGCCTTTAGCTAAAGGACCGGAAAGTCTCCACAGCTTGAGGCTCAGTGGGCTTTGGACAAGTCCAGGCTTGTCTGGCAGGCCCGTGTTAGCGGCCTTCTAGAAGAGTCTGCAAAGAGCCCCTTAGGAGGGAGCTTGCCTCAGGGGGGAGCTGAGTGCATCTGCCCGACCTAGTGAGAAGCCTTGACAGTTGGGGGGAGCATTTGTCTGAGGTTGATGGGATCAGTGGGGGGGC